AAGTAGGGACGTGTTATTTTCACACATACATACATACATACATACATACATACATACATACATGCATACGCTGATGAATGCGCATCCAACTGAAATCATGTCATTCCCAGACAGTATGAGGAGTTCGTGATCTTTCAGATAAGTTGGCTTTATGATAATACCCACCTCTGTCATGTCCGAGTAGACGACCCCGTCGAGAGTTCCCCAGACCAGCACCTGGACCAGCTGAGCAGAAAAAGGATTTCTGCATAGCAAACACTGCTTCCTCTAGCTTTCGGTGGCAAGTATTGACGCAAGCGTTGAACCGCCGTGGCTAAACTCTGCAATTTCGGCAGGCCTGCTGCCCAATCCATGCCAACGCCCTGGATTGGCATGCAGAACTTTTTCTTGCACTGACGAGCATATGCCTGAACGGCAAACCTGGTATTGAGGAAGCATCGAGCTGATGCAGGAAAGGACTCCTTGGGAGAACTCCGCTGCACAGGTTGGAAGAGGCCTAACTCCATCAGGATTGAAAAACAGAAAGAAACGGAAATGGGAGCATTCTATGTTCTAGTCGCTCCTGCCTTCGTTACGATGGGATCTCTCCGCATCAGACAGAGAAAAAGCCCGAATCCTCCGAAGACTCTGCTTGCACAGGATCAGACACCGCTGTGGTTTCGGTTGCCTCTTCTGGCTCTTCCGTCTCCTCCCCTTCACTGAACTCCTCAGTGAACCTCTCCTGGACGCTCTCGCTGACGGACTGGTCATATTCTGAAACGGAGGCCTCATCCTGAGGCTCACGTGATCCTGGCCGGTTACTTGAATCTCTACTAATGGCCGGCTGGGTCGTCTCTGAAGCACTTCTTGGCTGAAAGGGCCTGAAGTTCACGAAGAGGACGGCATCAATGAGGACAAGAATCATGAGGGGCATGATGGGGACTGAACTTTCCCCCGGGCTAAGATTTTCGGAGAGCCACCAAGGGAGCCAGGCTGCCTCGGCTTTGAGAGCCGGAGCTACACGACTTGAACAAATGCCCAAACATGCGGAGCCTGGCCAAATGCCCGAACTCTACCTACATAGGTAGGCTCAGCTTGGAAAGGTGCGCTGGCACACTGGCATCGTTGCAAACCCGACTCAAACGTGACTCGTGCGGCTCAATTCCCAAGCTCGGCCTCTGCGAGAAGGATTGTCCGCAAGACTTGAGAGCATGCTGGACGACTGCTCGCGCGCTGTTTACCATCAGGCTACAAGGGGGGACGGGCTCGGCACATGCCAGGCTGCTGCAGTGAGGAGAGTGAGAGGGATGACCATGACCAGGGACAAAGTTTTCCTCGTCATGCGCTCCTTGGCTCAGAGGTGCCATCTTCTTAGATTCTAAGTTCTTGGTCTCCTGACTCGGGCTGCGGCTAACAGCGGAAGCCCAGCTTTCCATAAGAGCATGCTGACTCTCATCAGGTAAAACATGAGCAAATAGATCATGAGCTGGTCCACCACCTGCGAGATCAAGCTGGGGCTCGCAGCTTGAACGGTAACGGTTTCAATAGTAGACACCTGCATGCAAGGAACATGGTAAGTAGGCGAAAGAGCTTCATTCACCAGACGTTTTTGTGACATGCTCTTTCTCCAGAGTTTTGGGAGCTTGCTGCTTAGCGACAAACCATCTCGGCAAACCATGATGGACCTAAATCCCCAAACCCTAATGAAGCGTTCTGAGACAGTGTCTTCTCTTTTCGGTTCAGGACTTCCAACCCAGCCCCTCTTCTGAATCTCAAGGCCTTGTACCGAACACGCGCGCGACACTTAACAGTTGTGAGGTGGGTTCACAAGAAAAAATTTCGAAGCTCGAAGGCGTCTGAGTTTACAAGAGGAGCATCCACCTGAGGCACCCAGGATGCCGGTCCCGCCTGTCGCAACAGCCATGAGAACCACAAAAACCCTTCCAGGTCTTCTGTGGGTCCCTCCATAAGAGACGAGACCCATCTCGCAATCCACGGGGCATTGCAGCCCACTGTGAACTTTATGTAGTCCGATAAGACCAGCACGTCGCCACCTACCGAACCCAAGAGAGATTTCGAAAGCTGTGTTTGAACAAGCTCGTTGAACCGCTCCAGGTAGTCATCGTTGTTGGGATCCTCGACGCTGGGACCGTGCCACGTGCGCAGCGTGGAAAACACCAGCTGTCGGTCGCAGGCGAGCTCCTCGCCAGTCTCGGGGTGCCGATGACCCTTCAGACAACAGGTGCAAGCTGCTTGCTGAATCTGGAAAGCGCGCAGTTGCCTCGGCAACTCCTCGATATCTGAGAAGAGCTCCAGGCCAATGGAGTTGTACAGAGGAACCGTAGCAAGAAACGTAAAAGCCATCCCCGCGAGCGCCACGGACCTCCAATACGGGTCCTCCGCGGTGTATGTCCAAACCAGGTTGCTGATGCGAACCGCCTGCCAGACAATAGACATGATCAGGAGGAGCACGGCCATCTTCACCGGCATGACGTAGACTTTGCGCATCCCGCCGTTCAGACGCAAGTAGGTCACGAGCTCGTAGGTGCACCAGAGACCTGAAGACAGAGACATAGTCACTGCGACTGCTCTCTGAGTCTTGAGTCTTGGTGGCTCTCCTCTCTAAGGCTCTGAAGAGCCCTGGCTCTGGGGCTCCGCGCGGCTGAAGTAGCGGGGGGACCAGAGGACGATGAGACGCTGAGACACCCTCAGAAAGCCTCCGAGGCCCAGGATCCCCTGCTCCTTCTTGACAGGATCCGTTTGGGAGATGCAAAGCTTGTCGAGGAAGACCAGCGGAGAGCCCAGAAACGGGTCGCGAACACGCTGCCAGAAGAAGAGGAAGAAGGAGAGCGCTGCGTAGCCCAGCAAGACCAGCAGCAGGTCGCTGTCGGGCATAATCTTCAAGCCTGTCAAGATGCCGAAAAGGATGCAGACCAGAACCGTCCATGAAACTGCTCCGTTGGCATTGAAGATAAATGTCAGCGAGAGGAACTTCAGCCACCGGCCTGGGCTGTGTCTGCATCCTTGTCTACCAACTCTCGCGACAGCAAAACAAGGCCAAGAGCAGCCAAGTTTCTGGTACCCCAATCATGGCTCAGAAATGCATCGATTTTGGTCGTCCTTTGGCTGAGATTCTGTTGATTCCGTGCCGTCAGGGACGAAGACCAGTGCTGGCCCCAGCCACCCAGGCAAGTGCTCAACGGAACACCTTGCAAGAGGTCTGGTTCGAGGGCTGTGGGAAGCTCTCCCGAAAAGCCCCTCGGGATCATTTCTGCATGCTACAAATCTGAGATCAACGAAGCATGACCTTCGGCTGTCCGGCGGTGCTTAGCACGGAAAACGCCTTGAGCCGTGGTCTTGCAGCGAGGGCTCTGGCGGAGGGTGCAAGTTGCTGGCTGCTGCATTCGCCATGACTACAACCAGCCTACCTGCCAATTTATCACGCTTCCTGGGACGAATGTCAAATTGCATGACGGCCGCCTGACCAGACTCCATCACGGCACAACTGTGCAACCAACCAGCAGCAGCCTGACGCAAGAGGCCAAACTGGCAGGATCCCAGGAAACTACCATGTCCTTGTGCCGCACTTCGTTTGAAAAGCTTCACTTGTGTAGCTGCGCAGGTTCACTGACGACAGTCTTTGGCTCTAGCTCCGGAAGCTAAAGATTCAATCTCAGGTTCAGTCAGCTTGGGGCTGTTGACGCTACGCATTTGCATGGGCCAGCTGCTTGTAGGTGGCTTTCCGAATCGGGTCGGCCTGTCGCACACCGGAGGCCAACACCCGCACCGGCGCTTGCTTCGTCTCCCGTGAGCCGTCTCCAAGCTGGCCTGCCACACTGCGAATGGCTTGTGACAACCGGCCAGCCCTGTGGAGAGAGGCTGCCATGGGAGTCGGACATACAGCGCAATGAACGCCATAGATGCACCCTCCACCCCCGCCCAAAAAAAAACTCATCCACGACACCACAGGCTGATGGCAGGGTCTCTCGTTTTGAAACAACGAAAGAAACGCCCTGAACAACAAAAACAAAACTCTTGGCACAGCTTACGACAGCAAATACGCTCCGTCATAACCGATGGCAACATGCGTTACTGGCTCCATGGGTGTCATTGTGGATGGTGGCGGTGACCACTGCGATGGTGCAGTCGCGATGATGACCATGACGATCATGACGATCATGACAGCTAAAACAGTGTTGATAAGCCGGATACTGATGCCAGTGACGAGTGTAACGACGATGGTGGTGGTGAAGTTGGCGAAATCGGGAATGATCGTGACGGCGATGGCGACGGTGATGGCGACGGTGATGGTGATGATGATGATGATGGTGGTGATGATGGTTCTGGTCCAGTTATGGTGATTGTGATGGTGATGATGGTGATGATGGTGATGATGGTGATGATTGGCATGGGGAGGGGCATGGTAACGGTGGTAGTGATCGTAATGATGAGATGGTGATGATGGATCTGGTCCAGTTATGGTGATTGTGATGGTGATGATGGTGATGATGGTGATGATGGTGATGATTGGCATGGGGAGGGGCATGGTAACGGTGGTAGTGATCGTAATGATGAGAGTGATGGCACATGAGCTTGGTGATTCATCACATCGTCAGCCTCATCATCATCCTCATCATCATCACCATCATCACAATCATCACCATCATCACCATCATCAAAATCGTCAAAATTGAAACAACTAAAATAATCTTCATCGTCATCGACGTCATCATTTGACGACTCCGTCAGTTTCCTTATGCCTTCGGGCTCTGTGTTTTGTGCGGCTTGCTTTTCGGGCTCCACGCAGGGAGTTCCCGACATGAAGATAACTCTGATCTGGATGCAAAAATCTGGAGCACTCGACAGGACGAGACGCGCAACTATTCGCCGAAGTCCGAAACATTGGTCTGTAAGGCCTGGCCTTGCTTGTTTTGGCCCCAAGCCCAGAGCTCACCCATGCTGGTCACCGCCAAACTGTGGAACCAACCTGGCAAGGGGCGAAGCGACGAACGTATCTGCAGTGCAAGGCTACAGTACACTGTTTCTTGTGTGCCACCATTCGCCGGTTTGCACCATTGCTAAGTTACTAAGTGTGCTGAAGGCCACACAGCTCGCGAAAGTCCCCAAGACCCACTTCATCTTCTTCCACCACGAACCAGCCTGCAGAGATGTGCTTGACACCGGGCAGCGGGATCTCCATGGGCTCCAGACGCGGCTGGATCCTGGCTTCCAATTATCATGCTTATACATAACAGGCGTGTTGGATGGCCTGCTCCGGCTAGAAAGACGACTCGTGACCCTTCATGTGGATGGATCCGTCTAGAAGCCATCTGATCTCACCATGCAGATAAAATTCGCCGAGGCGACGTCCCGTCACCAATTTGCCCGAATTCATTGCCTGAACCCAGGTGTTCGCTGGCAGATGATCACGTGCAGTAGCTGCAAGCTAAAGACGGAATTCGATACTGAGCTGACCATGTGCCTCCCCAGCAAAGGAGCCGCCCAGTTTGGGTGAGACCCATGCTGTGCCTGCCACGGAACATCTAGCTTGAGCCTTCTAAGCCCCTGCTGCAAAGGTACAGCTCGCAAACCTTCAGCCTGGCGTAAGCCTCCGACTGCATTCCCGCCGCTAGCTCCACGAAGTCCGCATCAAAAACCTGCCGCCACGGCAGCGAGGTGAAAACACCGAGACAAACACCGAGACAAACTGGAAAGCTTTGCTCGAGGCCAAAACTGAAGGCTTCCGGCTCCGACTTGCCTTGTCAGGAGTTAGCCGAGATGTTCTCGTGCCATCTCCAAATTGCCCGCGATGGTTGTCTCCCCATGCCACCACGAGATCTCCGTCCGCACAAGCCTCAAGGCCAAAGTCTGCTGGCAAAGCCGCGGAAGCTCAGTCCTATAATCCGACGACCCAGGCTTAACAGCACTCGACGGCTTCCTGACTGGCTGAAAGATGTTGACATCTGGGGGCCCCGGCGAGGCTGTGCTGCTGGCCAAGCGCAAGCATGGCAAGGGGCGTGTCCCGCCCTACTACGGTAAACCACACGGTCTAAGTCTAAGGGAATTTCTTCGACAAGCAGCATCACAAATCGAGGCCCACTAATCACCCACTTGTTGTGACAGAAGCCCAGGCGTGGGAGGCAACCTGAAAGTCTCGCTGTTTGTCACCCATGACATGATCAGAAGACCGATCCCTGGGACCATGGTGCATCAGATGTCACCTTCAACAGGGAAGGGGCGAAACGAGGTTTTGTGGCACGGCACTGATGAGCAACTCACTCCATCAATTGATGAGCAACTCACTCCATCAATTTGAACGTCCTGTCTGCATCGAGCTTGCCATGTCTATGGGTATTGAAAACCTTGTGCTTGACACGACTCTGTATAGACAACCGAGCTAGATACTACTTGGGACACCTTGGCCGCTGCGCACCGCCCGCCGCGCAGCCTCATGCAGGCCGTGCAGCTGACCTGCAACAGCTGAAGCTGAGACACGCTGACCCATTTCGGCGAAAACACGGATTGTTCAAGCACTCTTCTTGGCAGTGCCACGTTGGAGCTCCGTTAATGGGGGGAGAGTCATCCCTCAGAGTTTGGCATACCCATCATCCCCACGCTCCAAAGATTGGATCATAGTCTATCTGAGCGAATGGGCATATCACACACCAGGTATTTTTCCATTTTGGGGTGCCTCTCATCAAGTCTGGGAACCTTGGATTCTGATTGTCACTGTACAACCATGGAAAAAACGAATATTTCGAGAAAGGTCCGCCACAAACCTTTCAACCCCATGGCCCGCATGAGTCTGCATGATACTTTACCTGTCTGTATGTCTCAAGTTGGTGGATCACATGCCAGTATATCGGTCCACGGATCAGGGTTTCTATCAGAAACCTAATCTAAGACACTTAGCGCCTTCCCCGGGTGGACACACGCTTGATTTTTTATGTCGGCCTACAAAGGAAACCCACATCAATTTGTCTATCAATGTTGAGGAAATGTTCATCGATTCGTCCATTTGTTGCTATAGGCTCTTATTGATTTTACGTCCTGAAATCTATTGATTTCAATCGTTGTCTTTCTAATGATCTTTATGTAGTTTTTCATTGATTTTACAAACAAAAATTCAATGGATTTTATGAAAAAAGTTGATTTTGATGACGAGCTTCAAGCAACATTTCGGAGGCCCCAATCTGTTGACCCTACACCCCTAGACCCCTAAATCCTAATTCTCTAGCCTCTTAAACCCTCAAACCCTTTAACACAACTCCCTAAAGCCCTATACCCCTAAACCCCAATCCTTAACCCCCTAAAGCCCGAAAGCCCTGAACCCTTAAACGCCCCCTAAACCCCTAAAGCCCTAAACCCTTAAACCCCTAAACCCCTAAACCCCTAAACCTTTAATGAACATATTTGTCTGTAAATCGGTTGGTGGCCAAGGTTTCGTCTGGGGATTGAGGTTTTAGTCTCTTGATACATCGAGAAGGAACAGTTGATCTGTGTAAGCTTAAAACCGTCGACCTCCCACGTTTGAGGGTTTAAAGGCATCGGGTTTTAGTGTTTCGTCGGGATTTAGGCGGATAGGGGTTTAGGCGCTTTGGCATTTCGGGGCTTTGGGGTTTCGGGCTTTACGGCTTTAAGGGGGTCTCCGGGTCTCCGGGACCCAAAGGTTTAAGGATCAGGGCTTAGTGGTTATTGAAACACACCAATTGACCAATTCACAGAACTTCATGGTTTGTTAATGGTTGTTCATGCGTGAAGAACATGAACAATCATGAAGACACATGAAGTTCTGTGAATTGGTCAATGGGTGTGCTTCAATAGCCACTATAAGCCCTGACCCACAAACCCTTAAAGCGTTAAGCCCCTAAACCCCATAAACCCCTAAAACCCAAAAACCCAAAACGCCTAACCCCAAAACCCCAAACGCCTAGACCCCTATACTAATTTAAATGCCAAACCCCAAAAAAAAAACAAACCCCTACCCCTGAACCCCTGAACCCCTAAATCCCTGAACCCCTGAAACCGTAAAGCCCATAAGCCCTTCAAAAGCTCGAAATCCTGACGCCCCGAAGCGCTTAAACCCCTGAACCCCCCAAACCCCTAAACCCAAATGCCCAAAGGCCCACTAAAGCCCGAAAACTCCACGAAACCCCACAACCCCGAAACGACTAAACGCCGAAAATCCTAAAGCACTAAACCCTTCAAGCCCAAAAGCCCAAACGTTCTAAGCCCCCAGATTTTGTAAGGCCCTAAAGCCCGAAACGCCTAAACCTCTGAAACCTTGAACCCCCAAACCCCTAAACCCTAAACTGGCCCTATACCCCTAAACCCAAAAGCCCAAACGCTCTAAAACCCAAAACCTTTAAAGCACGAAAGCCCGAAACCCTGCTGAAGCCCCGAAACGCCTAAATCCCTAAACGCTCCAAAGCCCTGAGCCTCTAAACCTCTAAACCCCGAAAGCCCCATATCCGAAAAGCCCGAAACCCTGAAGCCTCCAAGCGCCTCATCTGAACCCCTACGTCCTTAAAGCCCAACAGCCTACCTAAAACCCCTAACTGCCTAAACCCCTAGTCGCCTAAGCTCCTGTTTAAATAAATATAAACCGCTAGCCCGCGTTGTTTTTCCGCTTGGAGTTCGGTGGGAGTTCAGTCGGAGTTCCGTCGGAATTTTAGGGTAGGCATAGTGTTCAAGGGAGCGATAGCTGTTTCGGCTGGATTTCTGACTCCCCGCGGAAGGCCACGTTGAAATATTGAGCCACATTGAACTTCAATATGCCGGATCCAACATCCAAGATCCAAGATTGCACAGGGCTCCTGGCAAAAATCTGGCAGGAATCTTAGATCACGGATCCTGGATCTGCCATGTTGAAATTTTGAGGCCATATTGAATTTCAATATGGTGTACCCAAGATCCGTGATCCAAGATTCCTCTCAAGAGTCCGGAGCAACCTTGGATCCGTCATATTGAATGTCAATGTGGCTCAATATTTCAATGTGGCCTTCCGCGGGGCGGAGCCATATTGAAATATTGAGTTGCATTGGGTTTCAACATGGCTGGTTTTTGCGGATCGTGAGTGAAGAGATGTTCATGATAAGATGCTTGTGAGCGGGAGTAGCTGAAAAGAATAGCACCAGGAGATGCGTGTGAGTGGGAAGAGTTGAAAACAGTCAAAAAGCATTGCTTGTGAGTGGGAAATGTTGAAAACAGTAAAAAAGCATAGATCTTTGAGGGGGGGTACCATATATTTCTATTTGTGGGCGTAGGTCTTTATAGCGAGCAGAAGCACAACACATGTATCGCGACTACATAAACTTTATTGCAGTACATACAGTGTTCTGTAACATGTTATAGTATGTTACCTGATAGTTTGTTATAGTGTATCACATCGTAACACATTATCTTATATCATGCCAAACTACAGCATTATATATTGTATTACATCACGAAACCATATACTATATCAGAACATGCTATGCTATACTATATTATACTATTATCCTCTACTCTCTATTATACACACCATATGCACACCGACTGGTTGGAAAGCCTTGCGAGTGGATGTCAGAAGAGAACGGTGGTTGCAGGGCTAGTCAGGTGAAAGCTTCAATCATGGAGCGGTTTGTGCAGCCAAGAGCGTGTTACATGCCGACTCACGACAATATGAATGATGAGTTAAGTCTTTTCATTCCACGCCCAGTAACGACCGCACTGCGCATCCCACTGAGCCTGCCTCTGCTCGATGACGGCATGCAGACATCATCGAACGCATGGAAACAACCACAGTTTGTTCAACGCTTTGGTTGACTGAGCGTCGACTCTCTCTCTCTCTCTCTCTCCTCTCTAGCTCTCACTGTCTTGCACTCTTCGTCTTTTCGAAGATCTCCAGACATCGAGCCCAGCATCGCCTAGCAACTGCTAACTGCTGTGGGCCACAATTGCGGAAGCATGCAGACACCGGCACGGACATGCAAAAGTCATTTCACCATGGTCCCTTGGCAAATCTTCGCAGCGCAGCTCCTTTCAAACGATGGCAGCGGGGCTCCGGTTGCCGTTCACAGCTCACCTGGGATGGCGCAGGAATCACGAGGCAGGAACATGTCCTTCGGGGCATCTGACCACAAGACGTAAGGAAACTAGGCTACAGGCTGCGCGTTGCTTGCCTCGCCGTCTGCACTGTGGCCAGGAGCGGCCTTGCAGTGAGAACATTTGCAGCTTGGAAAAGCATGGGCTCAGTGCCGTTTCGAGGGCCAGGCCGCTAGGATCGTGGCCGGTGGAGCCTCAGAAGCCCGAGCCTGTTCGAGGTGCGCGCGAACACGCTTTGCCGCACCCCTTATCCAGACTCGGCTTTCGGTCCTGCGAGCTCTTTGGAGAGAGAGCGGTCTCCAAAGCCTACCAGGAACATGTGCAGCCTTTTCACACAAGTGTCAACTAACAACGATTCCGATTCCACCTGAAGCGCTGCAACCTGTGTGCAAAGACATCAGCTTCAGCAAACAAGTGTTGTGCTCATGGACTCTTGAAAATGACCTGCTGTCGGGCTTTGGCCCCACGCTGTTTTCTGGAGGAGCTCGGTGGTAGCAACCGGACTGAGTGCATGTCAGGTTCGACTTGGGGGCATGGCGGGGCTACGTCTCTCAGGTGGCAGCTCCAGCTTCTCCAGCTCAGGGGGAACAGCCTGGGGCAAACAAGTGACACGTTGCAGGCGACATGCGCAAGAAGGCTGCTAGTGGAGCTGTGCAGAGGTCCCTACCGACTGTGAAGGCATCGAAGGGACGGGCGTCACCTTTGCTGACATGTGGACTGGACAAGCCTATCCGGCCTACAAGATCACCGGGTCCGAGGCTGCTTCTGCCACTTCTGGCTGAGTCTCAGCTTCGGCCTCAAGAGTGTGCTCCACCAGCGCCTTCCTTGCCTTCCCTTTCACCTGCACCTGGACGGCGTTGGTCTCTGTCTCCTCGGGCTCCTCGGGCGGGCTCGCTTCCGGCACCTCAGAAGCTCGGCCCGCAGTGTACACCCGAGTCGATCCCTTGAAAAGCCGGGCTGCCACAGAGCTTTTCGCTGGCTCTTCGCTCTCCCATGGGAACGGGGCCACCTTCCGGTGACTCTTTAAAAAGCTTCAGCAGTAAGTTTGACTCTCCATGACACTGGGGGGGCGCGCGTCCATTCCTGGTGCCGTAAGGAGATGCACCAGCGCTGGCAGCTGAAGCAGAAGCCTCACCAGACAACAACTGCAACAACGGCACCATCCAGTTACCTGCTAGATGGGTGCGTTGCCACGCCAGGCGCCCATACTCACAGAAGGTGCTGCCCACAACCTCGGCAAGTGAACTTGATCTGAAGCATAAAAAAGTCACGGACTTCAGACTTCAGTGTATGTTTTGCACCCCTCCTTGGAATCCTGTGCTTTGAACTGGGTTCCACCGACTTCTGTCTGAACAGTAAAGGATGGCCTTCAAGCAGCTTGACTGAGATGGCCAAGTGGACTATTCCTTACCAGAGAATTATGATGGAGTGGTCGTCATTTCACAAAGCGACTTTACATACCGGAGAAATACCAGATAATTTTGCTTCAAACTGCGCTGAGATGGAGTGTCGTCATCTCATACATACCGGAGATGTGCATGCACACACACGTACGAGGTGTGTGACATATTTAAAAGAAGAGCGGCCAAAGCGCGCGACACGGTTTGCTACCCATTCTTCAGTGCGGAGCCACCGCTAAAGGCCAGAGCATGTCAGGAAGGGCACTGTCACGACCGTACTCGACTCCTCAGGGCCGCTCTCCGTGCAGTCGCTGCTCTCCGGTACTTCGCGTGCTGTCGCCCAGGCAGACTCCAGCCGGTCATGGAAGAGCAGGCTCCAATCAAAGAGATTTGAGCAGACCCCGTGCAGTTCAGACACCAAATCGAGGGGAATGTGCATGCCGCAATGAGTACAGCGCATAGTACGATGAGCCCGTAGGGGTAAGGCCAATATAGGTACAAAATGCACCCGTCCAAAATTGCAAGAGTTCTGAGAAAGACGGTAACCAGCACTTTGTTGTCGTAGAAGTGGTAGTGCAGCTGGATCTCTTGGTGCTGTCCGTGGTGCAGTTCGCTGGAACGGACCCAAGTGCCTTTCAAAATCAGCTTTTCCATGGCGTGACTTGGTATCAAGGCTTCTGCAAGAGCTCTGGCGCCCTCGTCCCCTAACCTGTTCCCACTCAAATCCAAACATTTGAGCACGGGATGCGAACACAGGGCATTGGCCAAATTCATTGCTCCATTGCTGCCAATTCTGTTGTAGCTGAGATCGAGCTGCTCAAGCGGCAGTGTGCTGAGGCTTTCTGCAAGCAGTGGCATCTGGTGGTCCCGAAGGCTGCACCAAGACAGAGTAAGGAATCGGAGCTGCGGCCGAAACGCGCTGCACAAATGCCGCAAGGAGCGAGAACAGAGAGGCACCGACATCAGCTGCAGAGTCTCGAGCTCCTTGGAGCACAGAACACCGGCCAAAGCTTCGATGTCGGCCTCGTTGAACAATGTGGCTCTCAGTACCAGTTCGGTCAGCACGTTGCTTTTCAACAAAATGCCTGGCAGTTTGTGCCTATCACGACGAGCCAACCGCTTCAACGACAATCCCTTGGTCGAGACCAGCTTCTGTTTGTAAACCATCCCCTGCAAGGCAATCACATGGCTGATATCTGACCGATGAGTGAAGGCCACGCCCTTGGTTCGCACTTGCTCTTGAAATTCCTCTGCAGAGAGGGGGAATCGGGACCGTGACCAAAAGCCATTGTCGCCGGGGTCGAGGCGAATTCCAACATGTGATTTCAGATAGAATATGCTCAACAGACATAGACAAAAAAACAATCCGAAACCAACTCACTGCGCTGCTCCTGAAGAAGGTCATGATGGGATATCTGGTATATTGTCCCGCACAGAGCAAGGAGGACACCAAAGCCAAGTAGCTTTTTTGTTGCCGAATCTGCAAGAAGTTTGTAGGAAATGTCACGGATTGCAGGCGATGCCCATTCCACTTCTGCACGGCACCATCCGCGATGCAAATAGGGGGTTGAGTTCGCATGCAAGCTCGCACACGAACCATCACACTCCTCGCTACATCTTCCCTCAATTGTCGGCCGAAGACTTGCGAGTGGCACTTCCTGAACACGCCCGGCAGGATTGCTAAATACCGGTATGGCCTTGCTGCGATCGGTCTTCCACCACCACGGCGTCAGGCGCGAGATGCTCAGTACGCCTTGGCAGAAGTCTGCACCCGAGTTTGCATAGAGCAAGCTCATGTTCTCCATGCTTCGGCGAAAACTTGCATCCTGGGTCTCCGTTCTGTTGCCGAATTGGTAGAGAGATACATAATCGATGAAAAGCACAGCGTCGCGAGTCTGCTCCCCCCAAAAACCGTCAATCCAGCTTGCAAGCTGTGCCAGTTGGAAACCGTGCGGGTCAGGATGCTCGCGCGACTCCCAGCAGTGCGACACGGCCACATACTTGAAATCTCCAGCCTGAGCGGTGGGATGGAGCTGGAACAGAGCGCCTTCCTCCCCCTCCGCCTCCTGCCGGCGTGGAAAAACGCGACCCTCCTGATGGAGCCTTATGATGTAGTCCGGCTGTACGAAACGGATGTCGCTGCGAACCACGTATGCTCTGAGATCCTCCCAGCAGTTGATCCGCAGCTCCGCCATGAGAGGCGGCTAGCAGGCCTGAAGAAAAGCGTGGCAAGAATGTGGACTTAAAACTCTGGGCCCAAATTGCTGCTTGCAACATGAGCGTGGACTTGCGAATGCCCCGCTCTCTGACCCGACCCAGCCACTCGCCTTCTCACTCTGCTTGTCTGCCCAGGGCCTCGGTCCCACTCAGAGGCATGGGGGCTGGCCTCCACCTGCAGCCCCCGCACGATGAAACCCGAGGGTCGTTCAGCAGGGCCGACACGATGTCCTCTAAGTACGCCTCTGCAGGGGCCAGGGCAGGCTGATGCTGTGACAGGAAAGCCGGGGGCACCCAGCCGGCTGCTCTGAGCGGGCCTCCGACCGGCCGAGGGCTTCCAAGAAGAGAAGAAAGCCGGCAGGCACCAACAAGGCTGCTGGCACCGCCATCTAAGTGGAGAGAACGTCAACGCCACAGACTTCGTCCTTGGATTTCCGAGCTTCCGACCGCGAACGCCTGGGTGGCCCGGCGCCGGTATAGACCTCTGTCACGAAAACAAGAAGAAATACCGGGTCGGGCACTGGTCGCCCGACTGATGTAACACGCTGCTGTGCATGTCCAAATCTGCTACCCGCACTCGAGCTGAGTGCGACTACAGCACGACGCTGCAGACAAGGGCCGCCTTCTTCGCTGCTATCGACAGACCCGTGCTTTTCATTTGCCGCAACCCGAACGGTCCGAACAATGTCGGGTGCGGAGTTGGAGAGTGCTCCAAACCATTCCTGATTGTGCGATGAAAAGCTAAGTTCACCCCTAGCCGACGCACTCCCTCCGTTCAAGATTTCGAGGTTGCTCTTTCGTGACCGTCCGAAGGACAACCGGTAACATAGCAGCTATTCTCTCTCGAGCATTGCCCGGTGGGCCCCCCCCTCGTCTCCGGTAGTTCTTTCTGTCTTCCTCCCCCTCATACAGCAAGACGAAGGCCACTGGTAGAGCTTGGAATTCAGTACCAAGGAATCCGGTGCCTGTTTGTGGCATGCTTTGATGACCTGAAAACAACACAACAACCGACACTAAGATTAAGCTTGCACGGCCGAGCAGGGAGGCAGCGCCATAACTATCGAAAGGGGGGGTGTAATCAAGCATTTGCGGCCGAGCGGTGGCGGCAGCGGGTCGGTAAGTACGAGCAGGGGCGGCAGCGACTTGGCGGGTCGGTAATTCAGGTTTTGTGGCCGAGCGGCAGTGGCAGCGTCTGAATTACCGAGGGTGAGGGTGGGGGTCGGTAATTAAGGTTTGCCGAGCGGAGGTGGCAGCGGCTTCATTACCGGGAGGGTAAGGTTTTGCAGCCCGATTGCTGAAGAGGGTGGGGAGGGGGGGGTGGCAATTACGGTTTTGCGAGCTGGCGGTCCATTGGTCACCTCCCTCTACTGTCGGACGTGCGCTCTTGCACCTGAGAATGCCATAGTAAAGAATAGTTGGAAGGCGGGAAGCTACTGCTTGGGTGCTGTCACAGCGAAGCTTTTGGGAAGATCAGGCGAGCCTTGGCCGGGCCTCTCTCAGCTCCGCGCCCGCAGCAGCGCCGGCGTAGCCGAGAGCCATGGCAGACAGCGCAGCTAAGGCCTCCGGCAGCGGTAACCAGCTGGCCACCTCGCAGCGATCAATGCAGCAGGCTGAAAGCTCAAGAGCCCTCCCTGTGCGAAGATGCGCACCAGCACCAAGTCTCCCAGTAGAACGGCGAGCCTGGCTTGCGCTTTCTCGATTCACGAAGACATTCCGAAGCTACCAACTCGCCAGCCATGCGCGGCACCGAGGAGCAACCGAAGGCCGTCTGCCCTTCCAAATGGTATGGCACACACGTGGCACACTCTGCACCTTCACTCAGGCCCGCACCCTTGCCAAAGAAAGGCGAAGGCAAGCACTGCAGTCAGCAAGCCTCCATCGCACGGCTGAACAAAGCACCGGTGCGGCCAACAGATGAATTTCGACACTGCTGGCGAGAGGCCTGCAACCGATCCGAGCAGCTCTGAGGGAGGCGAACTGGCAACGAACCGTAGGAATTCCTGCCGGCAGTCCAATCGGCACTGGTGGTGAGGGATCAGCCACTTGCCTCAAGGGAGTGCAGGAAACTGTGAATAGAATCTTATCGAACAATAAATGCACAAGTAAGCTTTTGGATACACAATCTTGCCGTGTTTCGGACTCAGCCAACGAGGCATATGGCACACAGGGCTACTAAAACAGGAGAGTTCATGAGCTGCAAGGACGTCGGTGCTCTTGACACTATGATACGAGCACGACTGGTAGCTTGCTCTTCGCATGCCGGGTCTCATCCCTTTTGACGACGCTGTCTTTGCGAAGCATAGCTAGGAACTAGGCCGCAGACTTACCTACCACATGAAAGCAACCATGCTCTCATAGAAACACGCCGCAGACAGCAATGCCCAAGCAAGCAGGTCCCGAAACGCTCCGGCCAAAAGAACTGGAAGAACGACGAGAGCGCAGACGGCAAAAGATGCGGCCTGCCAGAAGGGAGCAGCTATAAGCTCGTTCTAAGAAAGACTTGGAAGCTCAAACGTCTCGGGAACTGGGACAGAGCGGCATCTACGCGCATGCAGCAACCTGCGCGCGAGCAGGGAGGAGAAGCAGCCCTGTGCCCACGGCCATCACCGCCAAGGAGACGAAGAATCTGACAGTCATTCGTCATTGACAAGCTGTGGTGCCCACAGCGCTGAGACTACGACCTGTTGATGTGCAACATGGCCATCCACTGCTCCAGCTGCAGAACTGCCAGGCCAGCCTTGCTCGCGTGCCGACTTGCAGGCGAAGGAGCGGGGGCTCTCAGATCCAGAGTCTGGGGATCCAATCTTGGTGAAGTTTCAAGACGGGAGCAAGGCTGGCCTTGGGTGCTAAGGGGCAGACTGTACAGGAGGCAAAGTCCTCGAGGCACCGCTCCTGCTCGTTTGAATGGACCGGTGCCCCGCTTGAAGGCATCAAGTGTCGACCTTTTTGGTCTAACAGCATCGCAGTCTGCACCCCGACCATGCAGGTAAATAGAACCCCAAAATCAGCTCGACTCCTACAGATTCTATGCTTCGACAATGCTACGTCCTACGTGTGCGGGCAAGCTCCTTGGCAGGCTCTGACGACAGTGCCTCGCATGGGGCAAGGAGACATTGTCACGTCTGCAACATGACCTGCACCTGGCTCCAGGCGTAGCAGAATACACGGCAGATAAGTGTGAGGCAGACTGGTGTTTCTTCTCTCGGATCGCTTCGGCTTGGGCCTCAACTCACAACTTGCGAAGTTTCGCTGGCAGGTCAGCAAGCATCGATTCCCGCGCAGACTGTGGTTCCTCCTGGGTCACCCACGGCTTCTGCTCGCTTCTCAGCTGTCTTGGCATCCTGTCGATGCAGCAGCAGAAATGTGAGTCCAAATCGATGGAGCTGAAGCGCTTGAAATCTGGTTATAACATTAACATATGTCAGTGGCAGACCAGACCATAAGGACACTGTCGCCTGCGCTGCCGCCGCCGACTTCGCCACATCCTGTTGGGCTGACCTGGCCGTCACAATGCTCTGAACATCTGTTGGGTGATTTGAAGTGCTCAAGGATCTCAGGAGCCCCGGTGTCTCGACAAATGGGAAAAGGAAAGACACACTGGCAACACGTCAAAGAACCATGCATGCATGTCCCTTATTGAAAAAGTCTTGAACACTTCTAACACCATGCCACCATGCATGACACTGCCCGGCAGGTTTCATTGGGGCTGCCGAAGTGAACCAGGATGTCGTTTTGGCAGTACCCAACATACACGGACTCGGTCGAGCTGGCAAATGCATAAGCTGCTCAGTCACTAACATGGAAGACCACAGACCACAAGGTGTAACACGCAATATTCTGAATAACTGGGCGCTTAGCATGATTTGATTTGCAGAAATAGCGCAACAAATGGTGCACATGATATTTCAGATTGCAAAACAGGCCAAGAAATTCAGCATGCAGCCGTGTGGTTTTCTAGGTTCAGGTGTCTGGCGTTCCCGGCCCCCCCCCCGCCCGGGCTATGGTCTGGCAGGCGCGCGGGGGGTGACAGGGGGGTGGTGTGTGCGGAGAGGCGTTGGAGCTAGGGTGGGGTCCTTCGAACCACAGCGAGGGCCGGAAGCCTCAAACCCTATAACGTAGCGCGTGCTCCTGTTTTTGTCAACCTTAAGCTGTACTTTGCACCCTATCGACTCGAAGCCTTAAACCTTTCAACCCTAAACACAAAACCCATAATTCAAAGTCTTATTATAAGCTAAACCCTAAAACATCCTAAACTCCAAAAACCCACAGCCACCCCACAGCGGGGACCCCACACCACGCCCCACAGGGGTGGGAAACGGGCATCGTGAACCATGGGGGGGAGGGGGGCGGCCGCGGAGCGCATGAGCACAAATTCTCGCACGTGGATACACAAGGACATACGAACTACCGCAAAGCTTTCTCGGCGTTTGCTGTTTGTCAACACGGCCAAACGCCGTGCCCTGCCAATGGAGTCATGTTGTGTTCGCTCCATCACCCGGCTTTGTCTGGATGGACACTGCAAAAGGAATAGGCAACGTGATAAGCACGAAAACCTGCGAATCTCATTTCCCTCAAGACATTTCCCTCGAGACGCTGGCCTCAATCGATCCTCCAGCTCCTGAACCTTCGTCGACCAGCGCACCTCGGATTGCTCGTATTGATATGTGGAGGTCATGGCCGCAGTTGCAGTCAAGCACTGCAAGGTGCCGCACGCCGTAAACAACGGAAATAACATGGAAGCAGACTAGATAGCGTAGTACATGCGATCATGTACAGACTCGGCCAAATTGCAGAAACGAAAATGTAGCATTACAATGCATTACACATACTTCGCAACGGCACTGCTCTAGTAGGAATCATGAGACGACAAAGTTAGACATGCAAGCTAATCGGTCACCAAAAACGGTGCGCAGTCGGCGCTAGATGCATATTCAAATTATGAATCAATAAATGTAAATAAATGTACCTATTCTCTTCCAGTATCCCATGACCCTGCTGTCGTGTCTAAACATGCAAACGACAGCAAGAACAACGTAAGCTAAACGAAATGAAACGTAATGGTCAAAATACGTAAATGAATCAAACTGGTGTAGTTACTCGAAACACATAAGCAACATTGAACAAGGTTGGCCCCGCTGCGCAGTTGGCAAAACCCTAAAGCGGAAACCCTAAACCCGCTTCCAACAAAGGGAAGCTGGAGTTGGCATAGTCAGGAAATCCCGTGTGACATAGCGGCACAGAGAAAAATAAAACTCCAAACTGTACAGAAAACAACTTTTAGACCCTGCAAAGTCTTAAAACCCCATAGACCCTCGATGACCAAAAGAAGCCCTCAAGATGTACAAACCGGAAGAACCTTTTCAACCCAACAAAGCCTAAGGAGCATCAGAACCTAAAGCTGCTATGAAAAGAAAGAAGGATCGATCTTCTCCTTGGGCTCCCTGCGGCCTCGGCCTCCGCATCTTCCGTTTCAGCAAGGGAGGCTTTCGCCAGCCCCTGCGGTGGCGTGGCGACCAGCGTAAGTTACAGTCTGAAGGACAGCAGAAGTTCAAGCCACAAGCATAGGATCAGGGTGGGCGGGGCGGCATCACGTCCGTGCTTGGATCAGGCAGCCTCCGATGCTGTTGGAGCCTCGCTTCTCTCTGAGTTTGAGGTGTCTGACAACTTCCAAGACCTTGCTCAAAAAACGTACCCAAACCATATGACTTCCAGCATCGAGTTTCAATGCTTCGTAGCACACCCGGCCGAGTCGAAAGACCTTTTGGACTGGTATTCCACCGCAATTGTGGGTTGCATTGGCTCATAATGCTGAGGGCAAACGTGTGTGTCGGCAACAACGACAGGGTTGAGATGCACAAGGTTGAGCCGCCATCCCTCAAATGGTTCACAATCTGTGCAAAAGACATTCAGGTTCAAGCTGAAGCCCCAGTGGTTCATGGGTCATTTTGGCTGCGGTCGGCGTGAAACTTCTTGTTACTGGCTCTTTTGTGCTGCCACATAGGGTTTGGTCCGGGGAAAAGCCACATTCTGGAATCTGCCATATGGATGTTGCTTAAAGGCGTAGAATGGACGAGATTCTCGATTCCAGAACATCAATGTTGCCTATGGCCTCCGTGGCCAACTACACTAAGCGTTGGAAAAATATCCAGGCTCCAGTCCAGAACTGCATCCATATCCTCGTGGCACTTCTTCCTTGTGGTTGTTGTCATTGTGGCTGTTGACATTGGTGCTGTCGTCAGACCCCTACTTCTCCATTGGCTTCGCAAGGCCGAAGCGGTCTTGTCTTGTTTCCCCTGCACATTCAGAGGAAAGCGTGAATGCCGAGTTTCAAGGTTTGCCTCTCTCTTTCTTTCGCCAGGGCTGTGGCGCAAGGGGAAATGCCCCTACGCCGCGCGCTAGTGCGCCCCCGACAGGTGCGGGAGACAAAGAACACAGCGTGCGCACTCCACCGAGGCAAATTCGCTGCGTAGCGGGGAAGCAAGAGCGAAGGCAAACATGACATGAATTTGCCTCGGTGGGTGGCCTGAAGTCCGGGGTCACGAGGTGCATAGAAAGCAAGTGTTATTGAAAGAGTATTTGGGAGGCTCAGCGGCCCGTCTTGTGAATTCAAAGGCATACACAGCGTTTCCCCCAGGTGTAGACACATGGAGGGAACATTGGGAAAGCCTCTCGTTCTATGGTACAACTGCCTCGAGCGGAGGCTGGAAATGACTGAAATTGATGGCTCCAGCGGCCCGTCAGGAAAAGTATGCAGGGTTGGATTACAAGGGGGCATGACCCCCGAGCTCAGAAAGACCCTATATGGAGAGAAACGGCACTGTCGTGCCTCTCTCTCTCTCTCTCTCT